GTGATAGGCCCAGTTTGAAAAGAATAGGAAGAAGCCCATCAGGTCCCGCAGAATTCCCTTAATTTAATGTTTGAATGCAGCTTCGTACTGCCAATTATGATGGGGCTCACATGTTACCGCCAATGGGGTTTCCGCCGCAATAGCTGGAATGACCGCATTACCATTGGCCCAAATAAACTGTTCACTAAAATTCTTTGCCAATCGAGCAAGTCGTTATTCTTTATTGGGATACTCTGTCAACTTTTATCGCAAATGGTCTCACTGACCGGTATTCGACGACCTCCGGTGCTGCGTATCAGGTGAAACAGTCTCTGACTATCTCCTCATGCAGAAGCTACCTTCATTGCACTAGTTATTTTGACCCACCAGTTTTCGCGATCCTTCTTGAGGCTTTTCCTGAGCTGATGTTGCAGGCGTCATCGGTCCCTATGCTGATCCCCGCAGAATGAGATCTTTCATTGTTGATCCATCAGTGTCTTCGGTGAACTTCGGGTTCGGCCACATAGGCAAAGTTTGCTGCTGAGTGAATCGCAAATCTAATTTGATTACACTATTGGTCTACTCCATGTCGCGGTTCTCCCTAGCTCCTGTCCCAGCTTCTCCTCATAACGTGCTCAGACAGGATAGATCGCGCAGATGATTGAGCTAACTGAGGAGATGATTTCCGCCAATGACCGATAAGTCGAAGAGCGAAGCGTAACGGAATTAGTGCATGATCCAACTCAACGCAAGTGGTCCAATAGGATCTTTAATTTTGTACAGAACCATGCCAACGGTAGCTTACATCTATGTGGTCAATTTGAGTCAAGTTTCCCGTTGAACTAGAACACCATGTAGCCGTTCGACGAGAGCTGTCGAAAGTTGGTGCTAGATAAGAACAACGGATGATCCGCACAGAACTGAAGTAGTCGATCACCGTTGTCTGTTTGCTAGGCGGGAATAACGAAATGCCTTCCTCCAAAAGCCTCAATGTAGTCGGGGGTGGGTGTCTAGGATTGCGGCTGGTCATCCTTCCCTTGCATCTCGCGAAATTCCTCCATACTACCCAGCGTCTCATATAGCCTCTGCTAAGGAAGCCCTACTCACTGCCTTTTCGTGGCCGTGTTTTTGCTCCAAAGTGAGAGGACAAATAGCCAGCGTTCGGGGCTATAACCAGTTTGGTGGACCACTGATAGTTCACCTACGGGAGTTGACCAAAAACCCTGATTCCAAACCAACCAACAGGAGGCTTACAAACCACACACCTTTCTGGTTGTGGCAGTGGTCACCGGCTCGTTTGGGCGTCGAGGAGTATTGGGCACCTTGAACGTTTGACCCCGTCTAAAGGGCGTATGACCCGATGAACTAGACGCCGCCCCCTAGTAGATTGCGGTTTTCACACACCGCCCTGCTGCCTTGCGGGTCAGACTTTGGCTAGCCGATGGCCCCGGTTGTGAATTTCCCAATAAAATTCACCTGCTTTGGCCTGGGCAGCGTGAGGATTCCGCTCACATGCAACTCATGGAATGTTTTTCTTTTGATGAAGGTTATTGTACCATGATTTGCTTGGCACAGTCTGCATTCAGAGGTGTATATAAATATAGGCAGGTTTCGGATGCGCTCAGTTTTTCAACCTGCCAGTATCATAACATCAGAGCTGCGGCTGAACCGAATGAGTTCGGCGAGTTTGTCGTAAAAGTCGTCCTTTTGTGAAGTGGGACTGCTGTTGGTTTGTGCATATGCGGAAATGATGAACAAACACCTTTGAGTGTTGCTGCCCGAAGATACTTCACTACTAAACGGCGAGCCAATCGAATCCGTCGAAAACTTTAAATACCTTGGTTGAACTGTACTCCCCAACCGCCTAGCTAAAGATGAAGTACAATTGCACATCGATGCTGCAAAAAAGGCGTTTCTACAGCTGAATAATTCTTATGGCTTAGAAATAAAATCAGCTCAAAAAATACGAATTTTCTCCGCAGCAGTCGGTTCTGTCTTTGTATACTGTTGTGAAACCTGGCCACTTAGATTCGAAGACTGTCAACCATTAGAAGTCTTCAATCACTGATGCCTGGATCATTCTGGTAGTTTAATGGAGAGAGCAGCTCTCAAATGAAACGGTTAGAAACCGTTGTTTTAATCCTATTCGCCTGAGGACGCTAATACGGCGGTGGAGACTACAATGATTTAGCCGCATCCTTCGTAAATCTGATAACGACCTGACGAAATCTGCCTTAGTACCGCCTCCTTACCCTAACTGACGCTGTTCGTACGGTGGTCACCCGAAAACCTGGTCAAACACGGTAAGCCAGGATACAGAAAATCTTCGTCTCCGCTTTGTCTGCGGCAATCGCCAATGGAAGTGAAATTGAAGCATAATCTGCGCTGATCTTGCCGCAGACCGCCGTGCGTGAGCAGCGGCAATTCAGGACATCCATGAAGCCGGCTTATCTTCTCCCGGGACGCAGCCGCCTTAAAAAGTGAAAGTAAGTAGCCAAAAGGCAGAAAGCACCTCAAGGAAATGCATGGTTTATGGCTGTTCAAACTAAAACTGATATACACTTGAGGTTTTTAGAGAAAATTATAATACTGTCCTCAGTTCCCCACAGTTTTTGTATTTGTGCCGGTTTTGATTTCCTTGTTCGCGTATACTGTTTGCTCAATCACAGTTTAGTAGTAGTTGCAGGCAATGTGAGTATTCGTCCCTGTGTTCCTTTAGTTAGTTTACCCTAGTGAAAACTGTGAAACAGAAGTTCGGACAACAAATACGGTATTCACTAAAAGAACTTTGCTGGAGTCCTCAACCGTTCTACTCTCTATAGTGTTCACTACCTCCCGGAACACTGGTTATTTTCCCGAACGATCGGAAATCAACATCGCTACTTTGATATCCAAATTGATGTCAATCAAAAGTGTACGGTGAAACAAAAATTGTTGTTACCCCTGTTATCCACTGTTTTCCATTGCAACCTCTTTTACACTTTGTTCTGTATCTGAATTCAACCTTCCCTTGTTTCTGGAACCATTTGATCCCAATGGCACACTCAACATGATACGATGGTTGTACTAATGAAATGTATGTTTGTTTCAGCTTTGCGCAGTACTGCACGTGTAATGAGCCGTTTTGCCCCAATATATTGTCTGATAAAGGTAAGTTATGCCATCGAAACAACTATAAACTACATTTTCATGTGCAATTATTCCGGGGATGTGCTTTCTTGCACTCGTTTTGTGGTCAAACATCGATATCACACGCAGTCATAGATTATATTCAAAGGGATAGCAAAGGGAAACCTGAAATCTCTTTCCACTTGTCACTTCAACGGTCGGTCGAAATGTTTAGTCCATCTTGCAAGCACAAATCCGTTGCTTAGTAGAAATTCTGAAGGGGTTTTGTTACCCAAAGCGATTCTAAGAATACGAAACTTTATTGTTAAATCGTCCTCGTCAGTAGCGCAGTATCAGTCAAAGTTTTCATTTTATCTTCTGCTCTTCTCGTTTCCCTGAGTTATTTCACTCCCTGTTCTCTGTGTTCGGTGATATGTAATTTGTACATGCAATGAGCCCGAAAGCCATGTGCGCTGTTCTAGATGAAC